CATTAAAATAAATTAAAATATCCTAATTTCATTTCTAACTTGTTTTAATAAATAAATTTGTTTATTTATGTGATTTTTACAGTCATTAATATTATTATATTTTTATATGAATAAATTAACAGATTAAACATAATTTTAAACTCTTTTTTTAAATGCATCTATTTTAATATTATTTTTAATATTTTCAAATTATGTAACTATTTACATTAAACTACTATATGTTAACAATAACTTAAAATATTTTAACTATTAACAAATACATGATCATACAAAAATATGCTAAATATACAAAATAAAATTGAATAGCATACATTTTTTTTAGCTTTTATCAGCTCAACTATATTGAGCAATATATAATAAATAATTTTTATTYTATTATATTGACTTGTATAGTATTATATTTGTTGCTTGTATGTTATATTTATTTGAGTTTTTGAATTGAAAATTATATGGATAATGCAGTCATTATTAACGTAAATAATCATCGGTTAATCATAGTGTTTTTTATGAATACACATCTAACTAACATATTATGCTACATTGTGTAACCGTACGACAGTTAGGTTGATATACACTGCTAGGTGAGAACATTGCGCAGGACGATATTATTAATATAATTTAATGAAGAACCCAAGAGACTCTATAWTATTAATAAAACGAGTGTTTAAATTGAATTCGTCATCAGTGAATAGACATAATATTACGTTAAATTAGATGATTTCATACTACCTATAGTATACATTATATTATATTATATTATGTCTGAATCSATATATTATAATTTCTTTTTTCAATCAGCTGCRTGTTCATACCAACTATATAATATATAAGCTATAAAGTGATACACATCTATTGTATTCTTGTATAATGTAAAATATTATATAACGCCCTATAAATATATCTATATTAAACTGTCGAGTAAAAATAAAAAAGATATTCTGATGTAGCTCATATTATGACAAGAGTATATGCCTATTCATGGGGTGCACAGATCAAGTCATGTACTGGTCACAGTACTTRAAACTTCACTTAAATATTTAACACAGGTATATCACGAGCATGAGTCATAACTTTCAGTGTTGCAACTACTTTATAGAGGATCCATTATAAATTAAAATGATGGAGAATTTTGTAATAATTTTTTYAGGTTATACAACATTTCGAAACACTAATAATTTATTAGTAATAAATCAGAACAACTTACATAATTGATTACACTAAGTATGTAAGTTATACATTAAACAAATAAGCACCTCGAAAATAAAAATTATTTCATTTTTACTCAAAGAATATTACACTTATATGTAACTAATTAGCGAGGATAATAATTGTTTCACCGAAAATCGTATACCTACATATTTACAAAAAACTATTCCTGATATTGTTTCGTCGTAGAGTAAACATATTTTACCATCAAATACCTATTATATATATTATTATTATCGACCTCATGTTACTGGCAGATAGTAATTAATTAT